TATTCGTTGCATCCAGTGGGGACATAATTATGGATTATAATGACTTATACTGTCTTTTTACGCGTTACGTTGCATCGCGCCGTGTAAACATAAAACCATGTCTGCATTTGTGATCGGAGAAATGACAAACAACATTTTTGCGGCGTTATGCAAATCTTATGCAAAGATGTAGGTATGTGGGGGCGTGTTAGAACGAGCCGTTTTAGGTAGGCGTGGCTGACTCTTAACTTTTATAAAGAATATCTCTTTGGATTTGAGACTTTAGTCTTTGCAACTTTACAGATCTTCTTTATGCACCAAGAGCGTGTAACACTCCAAAGAGAAAGGAAAAATTGAAATCGCATCATATGACCCCTTTAGCAAACTACACATTAAATGTAAAAAATGTAAATGTAAAAAAGCTTTGGAGTGCCACTTATTTAGACTTGAACATGTTTGAGTTAAGTACTGGAATGGAATCGCACATTGTAGAACCACAGTTGACTAAACGCATACTGTCGTAAAAATTTTGTTTTGTTCACATGGCAATGGTGTTTGTTTTATCTTTTGTCAGATCCATGTTCACAAGTGGCCTTACAGAGAGCAGTCAGCGGGAGGTGCGGATTGTTGGCGTGGAGTCGGAGTCCATGCATTTGGTTCTGGACTACGCTTACACCTCACGTGTCACTCTCACCGAGTCTAACGTGCAGGCACTGTTCACTGCCGCCAGCATCTTCCAGATCCCAGCCCTCCAAGACCAGTGTGCCCAGTTCATGATCAGCCGTTTGGACCCTCAGAACTGCATTGGGGTCTTCATGTTCGCAGATGCTTACGGCCACCAGGAGTTGCGGGAGCGCTCGCAGGATTACATCCGCAAGAAGTTCCTGTGCGTGATGGGAGAGCAGGAGTTCCTTCATCTGACCAAAGAACAGCTGGTCAGCATTCTCAACAGTGACGATCTGAACGTGGAAAAAGAGGAGCACGTGTACGAAAGCATCGTGCACTGGTTGGAGTATGACTGCTCACGTCGGGAGGCAGATTTACCTGAGGTTTTTGCCAAATGCATCCGCTTGCCCCTGCTAGACGAGGCCTTTCTGAGCCGTATACCCCCAGCCTTCGCTCTGGCCTTGTCCAGGGATCCCTCGGATAAGGGTCGGCTCAATGGCTGCCCGCAACGGCTGGGTATGACTGCATCCGAGATGGTCATCTGCTTCGATGCGGCTCACAAGCACTCAGGGAAGAAGCAGACCGTGCCTTGCCTGGACATTGTTGCCGGTAAGGTGTACAAGCTTTGCAAGCCACCTAATGACCTCAGAGAGGTTGGCATTTTGGTCTCGTCAGAGAACGACATCTTCATCGCTGGAGGCTATCGGCCGAGCAATAGTGAGGTGTGCATCGACCATCGCGCAGAGAGTGACTTCTGGCAGTACGAGCATGCTGGCAACAGGTGGCTCCCGCGATCGCCCATGCTGCGGGCACGCATCGGCTGCAGGTTAGTGCACTGCTACGGGAAACTCTACGCTATGGGTGGTCGAGTGTATGAAGGGGACGGACGAAATGCTTTGAAATCTGTGGAGTGCTATGATGCCAGAGACAACTGCTGGACAGCGGTCAGTCCCATGCCGGTGGCCATGGAGTTCCACAGCACAGTAGAGTATAAGGACCGCATCTATGTGCTGCAAGGTAAGTGGGGTTATTGCAGAGTCACCTGGAATCAGGGTCATCAAAGTGTGCAAACGCGTATATCCTTGTAATTCATTGGCCTGTCATGTCTTTTTTGCTCTGCTTGGATAAAAAGGTCAGGTGGGTTCACCTCTCTCAGCAAAATCGGCAATAACTGAGAGCACAAACGAGCTAGACTAGTATTTCATATTAGGGATGGACCGAAATTTCAGCCACTGAATATTTTCAGCAGACAATGCCATAGAAATTGAAATAAAGACTGTTTAAAGTCGATATTACACACTGAAACATGCTTTCTCTAGTCAACAGTTGTTGCCTATGTAATATCACACCTGTTTGAAAAAGGTAAAGTTATATATAAAAAATCTAAATAAAACGAGACATGTTTGTTAATTGAAATAAATGTGAAATAAAATATAAATATTAGTTTATATAAGCAGTTAGTTGCCAAGGCAGCAATTTTAGTTTGAAGCACTATAATGACTAACTGGAAAGAAAATAAATGTTAAAAACTAACAGTGAAATAAAAATAAACAAAAAATTTAAATACTAATATAAAAAAAAAAAAGATAAATAAAAATGACAAAAATCAAAAACAAAATTACTGAAAATTTAACTAAGATTAAAATGAAAGCAAAAATATAACAATAAAAAGGTCATTCAAAATATTTTCAAAAAAAATATTCAAAAACGTTTTCAACCTTGTGAGTCCAGAATTTTCAGTTTTGGACAAGTAGTTTAATTTTGGTGCTACGTAATATAAATGACTAATTTGTGATATTAATTACATATTTAGCCATTTTGGCTATCCGTGTGGATGTTGATCATTCTTTTTTTTATGACATTTTCCCAGGAGAATACTTCTTCTGTTTTGACCCACGCAAAGACTACTGGGGCCATTTACCGTCCATGAAAGTTCCCCGTACTCAAGGCTTGGCCGCCCTGTACAAAAACTGCATCTACTACATAGCAGGCATCTGCAGAAACCACCAGCGCACGTTTACCGTGGAGGTGTACGACATCGAGCAGAACACCTGGTGCCGTAAAAGAGACCTCCCCTTCGAGCAAGCGACCAGCCCCTACATCAAGGTGCTTCTGCTTCAGGGCAGATTGCATCTGTTTGTTCGGGCTACGCAAGTCATGGTAGAAGAACACGTGTTTCGTACCAGCCGCAAGAATTCTCTCTACCAGTACGACGATGAAGCTGACCAATGGACAAAGGTCTATGAGACGCCGGACCGCCTCTGGGACCTCGGCCGCCATTTTGAGTGTGTGGTGGCCAAACTATACCCTCAGTGTCTTCAGAAAGTGCTGTGAGCGTCGAGGATGTGCTGTTTGAGACAGCTGATCAATATTTTTGGAGAAGAGGGATGATGGTACTGCTCAATACATGGTGCTGTTTGTGTCCCCAACACCAGAACTGCAGGGGAAGTCTTAAAGCGTTAAAGGTTTCAATCAATAAACTTGAGGGTGCTGTTTGAAAAAGAAAAAAAAAAGCAGTATTTTATGTTAGACACAATCGCTTGTTTTACAGTTAGAAAAGTGAATGATAAGTGCAATTATCTTTAGTTTTTTTTGCAGATTTTGAGTCGTTTCTGCTCCTTTATATCTAAGTTTTTGTTTCTGTTTTGGCTTGGGTTGTTGGCGAACATGAGCAGTTGATGTCCTTAAGGACAAGCAGTGTGTCAGCAGTTGAGAAAAAAAATAGGTGAAAAAAATAAATATGTAAAGCTATAAATATTCATACGGGTATGATGAGCATTTTTGCTCACTGTTAGTGTGAATACTGAGTTTTATTGTCATTTCTTTCAGGTTTTCAGCTGAATAAGTTGACTCTTTGTGGTTTTCTTAAGAATTTAGTTAGAGAATTTTGATTATTAATGGAAAGCAATTTATATGCCAAGGTGTGGTTTTTTTTTTTTGTAAATCTTTTTTCTTTTTCCTTTTAAGTCAACCCATGTGCTAAAACATCGCAGCAGTTTTTAATTTTCATTTGGACTCTGCTTTTATGATGTTTCGTGCAGCTCCCACATCGAAATCTATATCTTCGCAATTTCGCATCACCAGCCAGATCTTTAGTGAGGTTACAAGATTTTACTCCGTCTCCATATTGGAGAAGAAAAAAAGGATACCAGCTTTGTGTAGCTGAAATCAAAAGTGGGCAATTTGTTGACCGCCAAACATGGCTCAGATCAGGAGAGAACACCGATAGTGTTGGAGAAGAGGTGGCCAAAATGTGGATGCTCACATTCCACTGTCATTTATTGACTCCTCGTATCTGAAACCTATAGATGCCTCCAAAATGCCAAAACGTGTTCAAGGAGTCTTAGCCTGCACCCCGTGGCAGCAATAACCGGTGTTCTGTCATTGTTCCTTAGATAAAGTGCATTAGAAACAAATAATTCCAGAAAAATGGCCTTTGTTTTGCCATCATGGGTTGGTTAATGTTCAATGAGAAGTGTTGCTAGCCAGGGATGTTACAGTGCCTGTTCACATGAAAAGCCCAGGCATCAGTGATGGAGTGAGAAAAGCCACTATAAAGTCTTACAGTTCAGTTTGCTTCTGCACTAAGGTGCTTTGACTTTAGGAAAGGTCTGTTTCGCAAATGAATCCAGTCCTCCTATTTTAGCGTTTCCCTGTAAATGAACACTTTCTTTCTTTGTTCCCTCCATCCCCTCATCTTCCAGTCTCAAACTACAGAGAAGAAGAATTGTTTTTGGTGCTGCTTTTTGACAATCTTGTACAGAATATACAGTGATTTTACAGCCATTTGTCATTGCTTGACGATTCCAAAAGATGTCAGTCTTATAAGTTATTGTGTTGTTTTTCCAGCCTCATGTTTATTTCGTCATGCAGGTTCCTGATTTTGCACTACATTATTTCCTCCCTTGAGAGCTTCTCAGAATACAGCGCTCTGTTTTCAGACACGGAGACTGAGGACGTGGTGAACGGCATCTTTAAATAGGACAGCTGATGCGCTCTCATGTCGGGCTCTTTGTGCGCCTGCGAGGCCCAGCTTCATCTGGGGCTTTGGTGGAGGGAGAGGGATGAGAAATTGCATTGGCTTTGGTGCAGTTGCCGCACGTTTCACATACTTGCATACGCTCAGTAGCACGGGAACCAGAAATGGACACTTCTCAGGATTATTGTCGATACACAGTACTGTATTTAAATGGTTTGTTTTATGTGTAATATACTGTACCATATGTTTGCTGTACTTGCACAGTTTAAAAAATGTTTTTTGTTGAATAGATTTTTTTTTTTTTTCCCTCCTTTCAGATGGGTGTGTTTTTTTTTTTCTTCATAATTTTAATATTTACTCTTAGGTTTGTTAGAGTTTATGATTTTGCTCTGTTAAAAAATTGTGAATCACAAAACATAATATAAGCATTTTTTTTTGTGTGTTTCTTTGTGATTGCGTCAGTCTTAAAGAACACAAAGCATTACAGAAAATAAGTTATGGCAGTGCTACTTTCCAAAACACCAGTCTGTCTAGATGTTAAATAAAAGCTTGGAAAGAATTTCTAAATTATACTTTTGTGTTGTTGGCTGCTGCCGGTGTGAATGCTCTACAGCCAGTTCTTCCATTTGTCACAGCTTGCAGTTAATTTATCCACAGAAGTTTAAACAGTGTTTTCTTTTCCTTTTGCATTATTGCTTTACATTTTGTTCATTTTTTTATGTAATTGGTTTGCTTGTATGTATGTATGGTGTGAGAGTTTAGTAAACATTCATTGATCTCTACTGTGAAATTCACCTTGCACATAATTTGAAAAATAAAAAGTAAATGAGTAGTGCTGGTATTTTTTGCAATGAGTAAAGAACTGATATAGGAAGTTGAAAACTTTTTTTTTTTTAAGATTTTGTACATTTAAAATTTATATGGAATTAGCCCTATATGCAAATACATTTTTAAAAGTGCAAATATTACATGTAATCATTCGACTAATATGAGGTTTAAAAAATATGTAACAATAAATATGGCATAATAATGTTAAAAAATAGCAATGTCGCTTAAAGTCATTTTCGGTATTGTATATATGTATGTATATAAAACAAGCCACAGAGAAAATTTTATGTCATCTCCAACTTCTTGCACTATTACAATAACTATAACAATGAAATATATGGTCTTAGGTACTTCTTTATTATTATTTATGGCACTGCTTGCATGTCCTGGCTGATAAACAGCCTTATTTTTTGGGTGCTACTAGCAAAGTCATTGTATTGTTTCAGCAAACATTCGGTGCAGTGTTACACTGCACCCTTTAAAATGTTTCATATGTAGAAAGAAGCTATGAATGTAAAGTAAGGAGAATGCTTTTCTAGTGATCTAGGCAGCTAGTTTTCTTTTAATATAAAATCACAAATAGGGGAAAGAAAATACAAACCCAGGCTTCATTCAATGCTCCTTTCAGTTCTTTGTGCCTATCAATTTTTAAAGAATGGCTGTTTTCACTGCTTTTCTGTCTATGGAGTGGTTATGTCTCATAAATCAGCCTGAGCTTACAATCATATCGATCTGACTGGAGTTTCTGCTTTCATCTCACTTGGCTTCATGTGAATTGACCATCTACTTTAAAGGGGTCATATGATGCGATTTCAATTTTTCCTTTCTCTTTGGAGTGTTACAAGCTCTTGGTGCATAAAGAAGATCTGTAAAGTTGCAAAGACTAAAGTCTCAAATCCAAAGAGATATTCTTTATACAAACTAAGAGTCAACCACGCCTACCTAAAACGGCTCGTTCTAACACGCCCCCACATGTCTATGTCACTATGTGGGAAGATTTGCATAACGCCGCCCAAATGTTCACGCAAAGAAAGAAGGCGTAACTTATTCTCGCTGTAGTATTGTTGCCGCCGCCGCCATGTCGTGAAGGCGCTGTGTGATTCGTTGTGAAAGCGAAACTACTTTGTTTGGTCTTCCAAAAGAGGACGATATTGCTTCGTCATGCCTGGAGCTGATCTGTGCTGGTTGCTGAGGAAATACATCAACTTCGTGCTGTGGATTGCCGGATCGGCTTTCACCGCGGACGAAGCAGAGTCCAGCCCGTGGTCGTCACAAGTGGTTGCCGCAGGCATCACAATATGGTAAGGACGTAACATTTCCGTCACACGCTTGAGGTATTCGGCCAATCACAACGCACTGGATAGCTGGCCAATCAGAGCACACCTCGCTTTTCAGACCGATGAGCTTTGTAAAAATCGACGAGGTTCAATAATGTACAGTATGTGGAAAATAATGTGTTTTTTGAACCTTAAACCGCATAAACACATTTCATTACACCAAATACACAAAATAATGTTCTTTTTAGCAACATCATATGACCCCTTTAAAGAGTTTCTCCCTCATGCTGGGGTATGTGCAATTTAATTATTCAACAGAAACCTATTTATCATCAAATTAGGAGGAGAACTGAATATTCATTTGCTCCAAAATTGTGACAAATTAGAAAATTAACTTGTCAACTTATCTAGCAGACTTCTGCTCTCAAATCTAAAAAAAAAAAAAAAAACAGTTCAGAATTTATTTTAAGACACAATCGACACTGACAAATATATTACATATCTAATATACCATATAAACAGGCTCCTAAGTGTCTATTATGCCAGCAGCACGCAGGAAGAACATATATAAAAAAAAAAAAAAGCCAGAGAGCGAGAGAAGGGAGAAAACGAGTGTGAGACCCAGCAGTCCCATGTGTAATAGCAAAGGTAGAGGGCTTCATCATACTGCCCTTGGCTTCACTTTCTCCAATGTCACCCTATATGCAGTGGAAGAAAGACAGCAGGAATACATCAGACACGCTTCCACCGCTTCTCTACCACACACACAAAACAAATGCTCCCAGCTGGAGCTCCATCATAAGCTCACCTGAGCAGCTTTGACTTTGGCAGTCGGGCTGTTGGAAGTGTAATGGAAGAGAGACCCCTGATACCGCCAGAGAGCCCACCTCACAGAAACGAAACAAATGCACAACTGCTATTTCTTTTGTTTAGAAAGCAATGACATAAAAACGAAATCCATTACGATGGAGACAATCAGAATGCAAGGAAAGCATGAATGCCTGCAGCTCATGTGAAATGAAGGACTTTCATGCTTGTATTTTTCATCCCATTTTTTTCCTTCGAGCCGTTCCTGTAAGAAACTTATTCATGTCTGGTGCTTATTCATGAGGACATGCGGTTTCCTATGTAATTTATAACCTAAACACAATCGCAAAAGCTTTTCAAGGTTGTAAGCATTTGCAATGAAGGATAATCGCGCCGTTGTCAGCTGGTAACTGTAATCGTTGAAAATGATCCATGTCTCGCAAACGTGTAATCTTCCTTATGTTTATGAGAGATGCTGAGTTATGAGAGGTTGTATATTTTGTAAGCCTGGAAAGACGCGCATGTAGTAATCACTTTTGATTGATGTTTTCTATTGTTCCTTCACTGTGACATTGTAAGGTAGATGAAATTTGATGAATTTTCTGTCCTAGGGGTGAAACAA